TATAAACAAGCATATGTAGATATAGATAATGAAATATATATGAAATAAACGTAGAACTTTTTTTACCATGCTATGATCAAGGTATGCAAGCATCGTTTCCACTATAATATACCGGAAAACGGAAGTATTCGAAGCTGAGAGGATAGTATCAGTTCATTTCTCATTATGGTTGTCACAAATTTTGTTTTCCATCAAACGTTAAACTCAAATTTCTTTTATTACTGAGACAGAATATTATTCAAGTAAAACAATGTGAACGACGTTATGCCACAAGTCCCAGCTAATATATTACAATCAGATAAATGCGCTAAATCCGTACGTAAAATGTTCTGAGATTCTGCTCAAGAACTACAACAGTGTGAGATTTTTATAAATTTTAACCAAACAAATCGGAACTACTACGGTAATCTTATTTACTAGATCTATGGGAAATTCTAAGCAATGTTTCATTGCAGAACTCTCCGTTAGAATCATATAACAAGATATTAACCCTATTATGACAATTTAACAAACAAAAATAACATCACGTAAATAATAGAAAAGCTTTTGAAAATCGAAAGAACTGATAATGAATAAATCGAAACGCTGAAAATGGTGTACTGAAACAAACCAGTTTATTTTGTCAAATGGTGTTTTTCATCACCTTTCGCATGGTGCAACCTAAACACAATTAAAATATGTTCCCAAAATTTTGTAAAATTATAAAGGTTTTACTGTATTCCACAGGCAGTGAGTACGTATGCTGACAATTGTGACCATCCTATCGCTTTGCTATTATCGAAATCAGATGACGTGAAATGAATAACAAAAGAGAAAAATGTTTTCGTCTCTCGAAATAACTATTGGCTAAATAATTTCATTTGATAAGTGCCATGATAAAAAGTCATAAAACAAAGAACAAAGAAAAAAAAAAAACAAAACAGGAAAAAAAAAATAAAAAGACAACGGAACGATAACAATTTAAGCACAGTGAATCAAATGAGTGGTTAATTTATTACAATGTTCAAATGACCATTTTAAAGCTATCAACGAAATTTGCTACTTTTTAGTTGTCTTCCTTTTCTTGACTTCCTATGCTTTAGTTAATTCTACAATAAGAGCAAGCGACAAAATTACTGAAAACCAACACAAGTCAGTACCAGTGTAAAATTTTGCCGGACAATTTACCCACTTCTTTGTTTCATATATTTCGATGAAATGATGTTGTAACAAGATATTTAATATTAGAAAACTTTCGAATAATCTTGGAGAAAGATGCATAAACATTCTGGTATCAAGAATCACTATCGGCGACTGCAGAAATTAGAAGTTAGCATCTCCACCGTGCTGACACAACCAATTAACTGTCATGATTGAAAGAAAATAGCATCATTTCATCGAAATTTTCGAAAATACAAGTTTTGTGAGTCGATCAAGGTCAAAATTCCATTGGGCTCATATGGAATAAAAAGCAGACTATCATACAAATGTGGAATATTTGCAGGCACACCTGTAGTATGAGATGAAGAAATTAACACAAAACAAGGACAAGTGAGTTAACATTTTTTTTGAACCAAAAGATGGAATTTTTTACAGCAATGCTTCCATTTCCCGAACATTTCAGTCGATTAGAATAATCTGTGTAAACCTAAATCATTAAAAGGCTTAATAAAAACTTTTAGTTGGATATTTTTTGAAGTCAAATCTCCACCGAAATTACTTTTTCTAGTTAAAACATATCAGTTATACTTCTATTATTTAAATTTGCATCTTGCTTATCGAAGTCATTTTAACCTTTTTTCAGGGAATTAATATGGCAAATAAAGAAAAGATGGAGCAGAACTCACGGAATGCGGAATGTAATGTTCCGTAATCCATCCAAAAAACTAAAAAAATAATCCACAATAACTACATTCTGCTTGAAAAATGTGTTTTGCTCCGCTATTTTCATCTTACATGTCGTAGTTCGATGATCAGATATGTGGCAGATGAAAAAAATCAAATAAGCTTCCCCCTACTTTTGGCACGAAGTCTAGTGATTAAAAAAAGCACTGCCACAAAATGCTATTGCGATTCATTATTTTAGCATATGATAAGAAATGTACACCATCTCTCGAAAGAATAAAGTAATGACAACAATGGCAGTATATTTCTCTAAAATTCAAAACCTTCTAAGTCAACGAAATAAATTCTTCAACAATTATCATTACCAGTCTAATATAACAAATACTTAATGGAAGCATTTGATCATTTAAGAGAAAGGCGAAAGACTAAAGTGTACTGATAACAATGATAGTACAAACATCATCTTACCACTTTGCAACTGACTTCCACTTTATTTCAAAATTAATGAAGCATAATAGACAAAGTTTGCATTCGTTTATAAGTTACACTGTCTGATACACCAGTTTTGATTATTTTATCGTAAATGAATTGCAGGAAACGCTTTAACGGAAGCTATGTTAGCACTTATTGTATACTTCTCAACACTTATCAAGGAGGTGCTGTTTCTATCACTGTTTACGACAAAAATATGACTTGTAGCGATAAAAACAGACACTGATCCATTGTTGCGATGCGCTTCGCCATGAATTTCAAAGTGAAGTGAGAAACACAGTCCTCTCTTTGACAGCGTTTTTTCTTTTTTTTTTTTAAAGTTTATGATGCCCCGTCAAATGGATGCCATTTAACGCACATTTAATGTCTTCACTGATGAAGCATGCATAACAGCACGTATTAATTAAGCTGAAACCTGTGTATCTTTTCTCCTGATTCGACATCATCCATTTATCGTTATTTGTGTTATACAAACTTTAGCGAAATTCTGATTTCAATATTTAAAATCCAAACTAAAAACGAAAGCTGATTAATAGTGCAACAATACGAAAAGAAAGACTTATTTTGCAGATGAATTATAGTAGAATATCAAAACACGCGGAAACAACAGATAGAATGCTTAAAACCGTTTCAGAAATTTTGGTCATCTAAGAAAGCACTGAAGCGTAAGTTTCCTTTCGAAATGACTCATTTCTACAAGGGAGCAGTACATGCTCAATAACTCTGTCGAAAAATCTCATGTGTTTACTGTTTCTTTTTTCACATAATTGATTTAAATAAAGAGAAAAGTTAGCATCTATGAAAGTGGAAAGAAATCAAATATCAAAAATGGTCAAACAGTGATGTGAAAAGTCAAGAAAAAGTCATTTATAAATCAGTACTTTAAAAAAATGGGTATAATTTCAAGGGAAAGAAAAAATCGCCAAGAAAATGAAAAACGGGTGAAGCTTCTTATGCATTACTGACAATAAAACTAATTTTTCCTAATTAATCCACTTCCGAGGTCTAAAGTGTGATGAGTAGAAAGGCTAGTTCGAAGCAGCTTTCCAGTCAGTTACGAAATAAATGAAACTAAGACACTGATAATGAATGCACATCTAGTGTAACTTTGATAGGTCATTCTGACGCACTGATGTATGGAACTTCCGAAAACTTCGAGAAAAATCCCACGATCCTCTCTGTCCTCGATAAATTTTACTGTTCTTGGAATACAGCAGATGAGTGAAATAAAAGCAAACACTCTGAAATCCACTAAAGCATCAAACCATAAGCTTTTTTTGTCATGGCAACCAATATTTCAACATCTTTAAAACATCAATCATTTCATCTCAACTCTTGCTAAAACTGTAACATCATGTCTCTTATCCTACTTGGGTAACTCAGAAGGAAGGATTCTAATAAATGAGAACTACGACAATGTATTAAAAAAATTGTTATTCGTTTCCTCTCCATTTCCTTTCCCACCGTTACTGAGGAAGAATGGAACACTTAGATATTACATCCCTAACCTATCAATCTCGTCCAATGTGTAACGCTACCTTTTTCTCTATTGAATAACTTAAGAAAAATTAAGTTAGGTTATTAAAGTAAAAAGTTTTATGGCAGAGAATAGATTCAAGCCAATAAAAAGAAACATAGAAGGTATATATCGAAAGTACACAACAAAATTGCACCCAAACCGGTTTTCTATTTACAAGTATCACGCAACATGATAAATAGCACCTATGGTAAATATTAGTAATCATTACTTTAAGAGAGACTGGCATTTCGTATGGCAAACATTACATAGGCACGGGGAAAGCAAATATGATATGATATAATTTGTTTTGAGTTGCTCCCATGGCCACTCTTTTAAAAACAACAGTAAACTGAACAAAAAAAAAAAGTTAAACTTTATTTTAAAGTATTGGAATTGTAAAACAGAGCATGAAATGTGACATTCATGAAATAATAAACGACAAACAAAACACACAAGATAAACACTATCTTAAGCAGTGTTTATCATTGTAATTCTCCGGATAAGAACAAATATGCAATCTGATATAATGAAGAAAAAGGAAGATAGTGCTAATACGGTAATGAATCCGGTAAACAAATACCTAAATTTCTATTCCTCCCTCCTGCATCCCTTCCCCTCCCATGAAAAGGATTTTAATCAAAAATTATCCTGCTTATGAAGAAAAATTTTCTTCTAGAAAAAAGTGGGAGTAATAGCTTACCCATTCAGTAAGAGAACAAATTACTGGAAGGCGAACGAAGTCATTTTCTAAATTTATTCTAAGATAGAGAAACCCAATCTTAGAACATTATTCACATAATAAATGAGGTGACCCTTCAACCAAATAAAACACATAATTGGGAAAACTAACGTGATATTCAAACAATTTAAGATAGGTTTTAAAATTGTCCAGAATAATTCTAAATCCATTATGAAAAGTTTTAAATCTAAGTAAAGTAAGAGCAAAATTTTTGAACTTCGCCAAGAATATTTCAATAAAAAGGTGATAATAAAAAAACGAATTTTAAGTTCCTGTGGATTTGATATAGAAAAGACCAGTTTTTGACTTTTATGGACATCAAAAAACTTATTAGTATGCAAAACCGTAGTGCTCCCCGCATGTCACGATAACCGCAGTAATATGCTATATATTTATTCATATGATAGTTCATATCTCGCTCAGTTACTATTGGTTATCCATATCAGTCTCCAAATTGATACTATCGCCAAACTTCCCATAAAGTATCAATTTCAAAGAGTTCATTTCGTCGCAAATTTTTTCATACTTTTCTGTGAGATCAATCACTTTATTTTCCAACTCACTTCTCATATTTTCCAGTGTCTTGCATAATTTTTCCTATAAAATAAACAAACAGAATAACAAAACACAAATTTTCGAAAAATCTAGCACCAGTTTTCACTCTTAAAAAGTCTAGAAAGCTAACGACAACAATCATGCAAGAGGCATTCCTCTCAAAGTAGAACGCCAACTCAACCACACGTCTAAACGTCTAATATTATCGAGAATATACAGTTACAAGTCAAAAATTCCAGCCTTTAATGTAGCAGCATAGTACAACAATAATGTACTGCTTACGTGATCCGTATGCATAAACACTGATCCAATCTGGAATGGTATGGTTCCTGCCTCTTCCAAAAGCACCATTTCATCAGTTGCATCATTTAAATTTTGAAGATCACTATTCATCTCTTGAAGTTTCTCCTGAAAAACAAGCAGTCGATTTCGCAATATTTTTTAAAATATTTGGATCTCAAACCTGTATCGATAGACAATATCAATAGTCAACAGTATTTCGTGAAGGATGGTAGAATTTGAAGTTGTGGGAACCGTTTTACTAGAGGTATCTGGAAATTCTGTTCTTGGTACACGCTTCAGTCATAAGAGAACCCAGAAGGAAATTTACCACTAAAAGAATTGAAACTTATATAAATTAAGTCAAACTGGATTGACAAAAATGCCTACATATCAAATTTCAAGGTCCGAAGGAAATGCAACTTATCATACTTTAACATCTAGCGATTTTTGATAAAGTCGAGCAAACCGATTGATCATTTCTTGATCCTCAGCAGTCACATGCGAATTTTGTTTCACTATACCAGAAGCCATCGCAGTAATCACAGCAAATGACTACAAAGTGAAAATTACCACAACCACCGTACTTCGCATTAAAAAACTGCTGCAACTTCGCTCAGAGTTAAATCGGAAAAATACGGCCAACCACCAAATACTCCATAGAGCCCTGAGAAGTGTCCTTTCTGTTCCGTTGACTTTTCCTTTTCTTCGCTTTTCGTTCCTATATTAACCAGAACTCCGTCTCTCTAGCGCACTCGATGTCCCTCTCCTGAGCTACCGTTATCAAACATGTTAAAATCACATAAGGAACCCGAGATTCCCCAAATATTGATGCCATACCGTACATCAGACGAAGTAAAACAGTTGGTTGGGGAGGGCGAGTGGCGAGTTCAGAGAGTGGAGGAAGATGTGATTTGGATTAAATTTTGGGGCCAGTGTGTGCATGTGTGATGCCTATGTGTGTTGGTTTCATTCTGTTTGGTGTTTATTTCAATGTTATTTTGAAGTTATGCATTTCGATATATATATATATATATATATATATATATATATATATATATATATATATATATATATATATATATATAGCTAAAAAAAACTACAGTGTCCTTTTTAAGTTTTAAATAAGAACTTGTGGTTTCATCACCGGTTTTGACAACACTTGCCATTACAGGCTTTCACAAAGTTGGAAGGACTTACTGTACAGGATGATGAAAAAATGTATCGAACCGACCCAAGCAGATGAAATGTTCTCTACGACAAAATATGAACTGTATGGATTAAAGGGTTGCGATGGGACAACTAATGTAAGCCCCTTTAAATCAGTTTTTCAATTCTGACCGTCTACTTGTTTAAAAATCCGGAAAAATGATCTGATGCGTTTCTGCCAAGATGTTTTATCTTACTAGTTTCGTACCATTTTTTCATTTTTGTTATGGACAGCGAAAAAATAGTAGCATATAGAACAAGAGCAATGTAAGTGCAAGTTTCCTGATTACTCGATTTGTTACAACGCTGTGTAGACCAACATATAAATTTCACTGCTGAAACTCTACAGATTTACTTCGCTTTAGGTTTTCATTAACATAGTGTACGGTTTTTTCTTGTGCATGATTTTTGGCTTCTTAGTAATTCTTTTGAATTCTCACTTGCTATGCATCAGTCTTGTTTTACATATGCTTTGTATTTTGATTTTTTGAAATGAATGAAACTTCATAATGACGTTTTGAAATGTCAAGGGATATCATCAAGATCTTAGAGAACATTATTTATCACGAAGATAAATATCTTCACTTTACATCTTTACCTACACAACCATAAATACTTTTCTAAATCGTGAGATGGAATACAGCAGGCTTATGTGTAAGGAGCTGTAATTAGATTGTTTCGTTGATTATAAAGGAGGAAATTCCAAGATATACAAATCGAGAACTGCGATTTATTCCTTTTCTAAGTCGTTTACAAAAAGGGGTTAATTCATGTTTCATATTTCCCGTATACCATTTGGATTTGTCATTTCTGTATTGACATTTCGACATTGTATTGTTACTTAAACGAATGAAACAGTACTTAAATGTATTGTCATTTCGATAATACATTTGGGGTCACTGATATTAATCCTTTTCTTTAAAGTACAGTGTTAGTTTATTTCTGCTTATTTCACACTAAAACAGCATATTATTCGCATATTTCATTAATTTAGGTTGGAGTAGTATAATTAATATAGTACCAGATGATTTGTGTTAAATAAAAGGATGAATAACAACTTTCGAATTGTTGTTAGAACGTTGTTATTAGAACCGCTTAGTTGGGAGTAGGCATTATTCTGTTTTTGTTCTTTTTTTGCACATCTAGAGATTTTTTTTGTCCTAATAAGTTTTGTTGACAAGGTATATTCAATAGTATGTGAAGAACGATGGTCTTTTCACTTATTCTTCAGCAGATCTTAGCTTTTTCTCATACCATTTAATTCACAAATTGCATTTATCGGATGGTAGTAAACAAAGTATATCTTTATACTATTATTTTTTCAAGTTCTTTTCCAACAGTAAAACCAGTGTAAATTGACATTCTTCTTGGCGAATCGTTTCTTCAGCTGGTTTGTTAACGATATCCACTTTTAAGAATTTATGTTTGAGGAAAGGTTAATCTTGGCTGCTATCGAAGATGTCTGCTTGTTACCTCGAGAACTTTTTGATGGGTTTTATCGGGCATTATCTCATTATTCACTACTGTTTTCGATGTCTGAAGTGGCACTTCTGTCTGTATTTTGCCAAGCTTTTGTATGCTAGTTGCAGTAATCTTTATTTCTGGTTATTGTTTGCATGTTGACCTAATTGATTTTCTGCTGTATTCTTTGAAAATGGGAGATTTCCGATCATTGTTTTTTTTTTTTTTTATGATGTGATGTCGGTGTTGAACTTTTCAAGCAATTAATTTACCGAGGAAAGGGCAAGAGAGAGGGAGGAAATCACTTTTTCAGTATTTGAAAAGATGATTATCAGTTAAGCTATTTATCTTTATCATGTATTTTTTATTTGAGAAAATATCCACTATGATAGTAGACTTGTTTTTTGCTATGAGGCAAATATAGGACGAAAAAACTTAAAGCTTTAAATGTTTTTGATTTTTTTAATAACAGGAACTGGTGTTTTTGTATTATGAGTTTTTAGCTGTTGCAATGTGACGATTTCGTCACAATTTATATTGTATTGTATGTCTCATGTAGAAATCTAGTATGTTATTTATTCGTTATAAAGAATGCAGACTTACACTTGTGTTATTTGCAGACATCTGATTCTGAGGCAAAATTGATGCATGCCTCAGGAAGTACCTTGAGGAGTAAAACTTCATGTGCACGACTATTAAATGGTAAAGTTTTCATTTTCATATTCCTATATATTACTGGAGGTGCTTGAAACAAAAACGGTTTCAATGATTATGTTTTGTCATTTGAGTCTCTAGCAGTTTTCTTCGTTGATATCTGAATTTCATCGATATTACTGAGTGAAATTATTGTTTTTTGATTCCGATGTTTAGGGAAAAGTTTAGTTTCGAAGTTGGTTATACTCACTTTTCTTCTTTTAATGAAGTTTTATCAAAGTTTCTTCTTTATCAAAGCAATAGTCGTGCCACTTACATTTTTGGGGAGAGATTGCTGTATATTGTGAAAATTTTTTGATAGTCAGTGATGTCATTTCACGCCTGTTCTTTTTAGATTTAAACAGAATTGGCAGATTTCCGAGACATTTAAAAAAACTGTTCCGCATGCTTCTACTTCCGGTTATTATTTTTATTGCATTGTTCATCTTCATTACATATTCCTCGAAATCTTCAACAGATACTGCGTACTGGATTGAAGAACCTGTTGCTCATCCATCGGTTGTTTCTTTTATCTATTTTTTATTTTTAAAATAATAGAAATAATTGAGTTTTTTTTTGGTTCGAAATAATACGAGGAATGGAATGAGATTGCTCTTGTTTCTGCAGAATTTTATGCTAAGTTGTGCATTCATCCATAAAAAAAAAAAAAAGAATAACTTATGTGACATTTCCTTGTGCTTCACTTCATCCTAAAACTTGGTTTTTCAGTTACGGTAGTGCTTATTTGAGCATGGAGTTGATAGTAATTTTTCTCGCACATTTACACAAACCTACTTTCGAGCGTTTCTTTGGAACACAGCTTTTTCTTAGTTTCAGTTTCGATCTTTCTGAATGATTAGATTCATTTATTGTGACTTATTGTATATTTCCATATATTCCAGTTGCCTCATATAATAGTATTAGGTGCTGATACAGCTGATATGCGGAAATCAGCCACTCGAAGGCACAACTTTTCCAGAAAATCTGAACAGGTATTAATTCCACTTACTTTTCTCGAAAAGCTGCCGATAATGTAGTAGACAATGGGTTGATGACACTGCGCATGTTTTTTTGTTATGGATCATTCTTCAGGAGATTTCTAGAGATTGATGTACAACTTTACTCAACATATGCATTAGAGATCCACTGCAGCGCTTCCAGTAACGTAGGGAGCGTACTCAGTGCTATTTTTTTTTTTTCTTTTTCTTTTTCTTTTTTATCTCAAACATGAATCTGCTTCAAAGAATGTGTTTTAAGGCTTGTCGCATCCCGAAGTTAAATATCAATGGTAGTGAAGTTATCGGGTTTTTTCACCATGTAGAAGCACTCGATTGTGGTAAAAATAAAGAAAAAGAGTGGGCTTATGTTGATGAGAAAGGATTGTTCACTATGTCATCTGATGCTATCAAGTAAAATTTATTTGATCACCACTTTTGTTTTCTTTTATACTAACTATCGAACTGGCTTTTACAGGAGGTTCCAGTTTTACTTTTCCTAAAAAATAATTTTTGAAATTTTATAGACATCATGGTGGTATTAAATGTACTATTGCCTATTTTGAACGAGTTGATGACAATAGATTGAAAATTGGTCGTCAGATTCCAATTACATCTGGTAGTCCTATGAACAAAGATTACGCTGTTGTAGAATGCCTTGGAAATGATCAAGAAAAGTGGTTTGTTTTCGTTGAAATTAAGTTTTTTGAAAGCCGAGTTCAATATCTTAACTTTTTCTGGCTTATAATTTCTGAATGGATTATTTTCTACCATGTCTTCAGCTTTTCATTCTGATGTGATCTAAGTATACAATAGAAATCTTATAAAACAGCTGGTATTTGTAAGCCATGTAAGGTTTAATACCGGAATTGTAGTTTAAGAGAGGGTTGGGAAGTGTTTACATTCAATTTCCATATGATAATTTTAAGAAATCATCATTGTTGTCAACATTTTAGATTAGCAATGTTGAGGGATTTATATTATTTGAAATTTTAATGTTTATCACACGTAACTATCGATATACACCCCAGAGACCAAAAAATTTTCCGTGCTTACGGGTGTGAATAAAGAACCTGTTTGAATTGTAAAACTTCATGACTGTTACCAGTATTTGCTTTGAACATCAAAAAGTGGAAAAAGAAAACTGCACTCATTTCATAGAACTTTTTTAAAGGA